GTGAGGTTCTCACAATCAGAAGGAGAACAGAGGCAGTATAACATTTTCTATCACACCCAAACATGTTTCAGTGTTCAGGGCAGGGAAGGTGGCAGTATTCAATTCTTGTCCTTAGGACTTTAGTGTGGTTGCTGAAACTACTGGGACCATGGAGCCTCTCTGTCAATCCATCTTTCTTTCCTCTCCTTATACACTGAATTCCTCCAGTTTCAGACAAATCCAGAGAAGGACAGAAGTCTTAGATTAACTTCTGCAAAATGGGATAAAAATCAGTGGCTGAGCAGAGAAGAGCTGCTCAAGTGAACACACTCGACAAGAGGAAGGAATAAGATTCCTTCTTTCCCTTTTTCTTCAGCTGTGTCTGAAGGGCAGCTCCAAATTAGCTGCAAAATCATAGCTCTGTGACCTGTTTGGGGTAGCACAGATCTCAGGGAGGTGAGGGGATGCAGCCCGCTGCCAGGAGCCACCACAGGGAAGCAATTTCATTTCATTTGTAGGAAAAGCTGCCTGTATTAAATATTTGTGCTGCTTTATTTGCTCTTGTACACACATGGCTTAGCTGGAGAGTAAACAGCAGATTTGGTGAGCAACAGAGGTAAGGAAACCATGTTTGTGTACCTTCAGATTGAGCTGCCAGGTGGAGTCTGATGAGTAATAAAGTCTGAGTTCATGCCATGTTCTGTTCCTCAGCAGGAACAATGAAGGTCTACCCTCCCTCCTCAGCTATGTGTGTCCATGGAGTGTGTAAGGATGTACTATTTTGTGTCAGCCACCTTCTGTCAGTTTGACTAAAACTGGCTTTAAAAGTAGTTAAAACTGACTTAAAATCCACTCAAGTGCCTTAGGGCAGGGGATCAGATGAATAGAGAGACACCTGCAACCTGTGGCTACATCGTCTTTTTTCTTTAGGAAATGGGGTTATCCTTAGGAAAAAAGAACAAATGTATGCTTTCACAGGATAATAAACAGCTAATTGTCCACAACTGACAAAGTCACCTCTTGCATGTGACCATTATGGCAATGCCAGCTGCAATGTCAAACTAGAGGGAAAGGTGTTTTTGTTTTGTTTCTTTGTTTGTTGGTTTATTTTCTCTGTCTCCAAAAAGCCTTCCTTGCTCGGAATGGAGACTGGCTGTTCTTTGATTGCTGATGAAATCAAAGATGCTGTGCGTGGGTGGGGGAACACATTGTCAGACTACAGCTTAGCTTCACAGAGTGGTTTTGCATGGATTTATATCCTAGGGAACCAACATCTTTCTGTGCCATACTCTGCATGTTTTATCATCATAATTAATATTCCTTTCTGCCATCTTTCATGCCTTTGGTTCAAAGTGGTGGAGAGTACTAACATGTTCTGGAAACAAAGAAGGAAGTGAAAAACCTCTCTCTCCAGATACTGCAGATCCACCTGCCTGTTAGGACCGAGTGTATTTCCTATAACAGATGCTACCGAGCACAAAATTTCCATTGTATATGCCTGACTGTGTTCATGTAGCATCCCTGCAAAGCAAGCAGGGGCATCACTGCATTGCTGGAATTGGAATATTAATGTAACTGGACTTTTGCAAAGTCATTTAATTTGTAGTCCTAATAGTCTGACCTCATCCAATTAGCATCCAGACCAAACAGCTATTGTCCAAGTCAGGCACACAGTCCACTTATTATGAAGAGATTTTATCTATCTAGGCAAAAGAAATGGGAAACAGCAAGATAAAGAGTTAAGTCAACAGAGAAACGATACAAAAATTTATCCAATATATTCACTCATTTAATGAAAGATCCCAAAGACAAAGGAGGTACAGTTTTTCTGAGATAGGAAAACAGAGTTATAGTGATGTGGAGAGGCTGTGGGCTTTTCCAGAAGCTCCAGGCAATGAGGGAAACTCCTGAATGCTGGGGATGTCCCTAGCGGACAAATTGCTCTTCTTTCACAGCGAGCATAACAAGGGTCAGGGCAGGGAGAAGAATGACCCAGCTAGGGAACATCCCACTGTGGATAAATAGAGGTATTGAAACACCAGGAAGAAGGAGGAGGCAGGCTTCCAAGAAGTGGCTTTTGAGGAAGAAGGAAGTCATTTGGTACACCTGACAAAGGAATTTGTTCAGAAGCAGAACTGTGCTTGTTCTTGGTCCTGTGTCCTAGTGGTTTTCTACTGTCCTTCTTTCCGTGAAACGGCTCCCCTTGGGTGGGCAGCTCAAGAGCCCATGGAAAGGGCAGATAAAACGTGGCAGTGCCTCAATTTCCCTGCCCAAAACAACAGGTTTGGACAGCAAACAATCCCTTTGCATTATGTTAACTCTTTGTGAAAAGACCTTTGTTCTAGTTTGATCTTTACACTTTTCAGCTCCTCTGCTGTAAAGGCGAAGCTTCCCCAGGGAGTTTTGCTTGTTTAGGCATAACACCATTCATGGAAGCACTGTGTAGAGCATGTTACTAGAGATTCAAATTGTCCCCATGTTTTAGCTGCAGAACTTCAGCCTGAGCAGTAAAATAGCATTATAGACAGAGGGGAGAGATTTGTGCACCTGGCACATCCTGTTGAGGCAGACAGACCAAGGAAAGCAGACTGCTTGGTGGCCTTTGGGCAGCTCCTTTGTGGCATGTCCTCTCCTGGTGCAGTGCATTCCCCTCAGTGACACCATCCTTCAACCCAAAGTAGTTGTGGGCAGGGGGGTGCAGAGAGGCTGACGATGGACTGCCACTCCCACTGTAGCCAGAGGGATGGGGAATCATCTCCTGTTGCTGGTGGGCTCAGCACCCTTGGTCAGAATGACCATCCCCATCCTGCTGTCCCTTCGCAGGGTGCTCACAGCTGTCTGCTCCCCAAGGCTGTGGCCTGCTTTGCCTTCACCTGCTGGTTATCCTGGTTTGTGAGCGAGGGGAAGGTTGGACAGAGGGGCCCTCTGGGTTGCTGGTGCTGCAGTGCTCGGGGGGAGCTGTGACCTGAGGGCACTCTCATCTCAGGGAGTGTCTGCCATGGCCTTGATTGAGTGCATCCAGTGGTCCATAGAGTAAGAGATGCTCCTAGCCTCAGGAAGTTTGTCCATCTCTGTGCATTCACTCCTTGCTTTCCTCAGGCTCATATTGTATTCCCTTGAAAGAAGCTTTCTGGGAAAACACAGCAATTCCCACACATCATGTTACTACAGTTTAGGGCGTGATCTGCAGCTGTTGTGTGTTCAAAATCTATATACTGCAGAGAATCTTGCCTTTAGGGCTGGCACTTTGACATCCAGTTTCCTTCTACAGAGAAGTCTAGGGAAATGTTCTTTGTTAGAGTCAGACTTGCTGGAAAAATGCTGATGAAGTGAAACATAAACACATTGTGTTGGAATTTTCATGGGAAAATATTGCTGAAGGGTTTCAGCATGACTGGAATACATCTCTGCAGTACTGACCCCCTCACTCCATCTTGTATTCATACACTGTACAGCTATAACATTCTAAACAAAACTTTCTAACTTCAGCCGAGTAAAAATTAAGGTCAAAATGGACTGTGTGTAAAGTCTCTCAATTTTTAACTTTTTTCACAACCTGGGAAAACACTGAGTTTTGCAACCTCAGTATTTCCTACTGGCAACAGCTCAAATGTATGACCACTGCTGGAATTTCTGTTTGCTCTTCCAAATGAAATGTATTTATTTCCTCCTCCCTATTGTTACTAATGAATCAAATGGCTCTGTGATAACATGCTGATGGAATTAAGCACAGAGTAAAAGAGCCAGAACACACAACATTTACTTGGTTTCCAAGTAGGAAACCAGTGCAATTTTACTGTCATGAAAATGTAGAAAATCTTGGAAGAAACTGCAGGCGTTAAACCCAGAAATATGATATCACATATTTGGAATAATCTAGATGCTGTGTGGAAAAATTACCCCTTAAATTCATACCCTGAAAATAATTTTTGCATATTATATAGTTTTGAATAAATACAGCTTGTAATGACTAATACAAACTGTCCTCAGCTGATGAAAATCCTCAAGTTCTCAATTTAATTTTTGTAATAATGGAATTGAGAATTAAACCAAGTTTGTAACTCTCTAGCAAGGGGAGAGTGATAAGGACAACATTTCAGCTTCCCTCCAAGTGCACTGCCTTTCTCACAGCAGTGCAGAGACTTTAAAAAAACCCTATTTTAAACAGGAGTTCCTGGAGTTCAAGCATACTTTCTGTGTAGGAATTTGTCCTGAGGTTTATGGTCAGACATTTTAGTAGCCAAGCAGACATACATCTCCTTTTTCTTCGCTGTGGGCATTGGCTGGTGAACAGATCTATATGTGTGCATTACACATATGGACACACACACACATTTATGGTGGACTGATGCAAGGTTATGCCATTTATATCTATGTGTGTGTATAAAAATATAAAACAATATATAATTGCTGCTGGAATATTGCACAGTCCAGGAAGTTTAGATCACTCTTGTCTCCTCTGAATAGTGCTGTTAAAACACGGAAACCAACGCCCTTTCTCTGGGACTTTACATCCCTGTTGGCTACCATGAGGCTTACTGGGAGGTGGGGAAAAAATTGGCTCCAAACCCAGATGTGATCTCTCTGCCAAAGAAAAGCTCAGGCGCAGCCTGGGCACGTGGGTTGGGTAGAAAAGGATGTGTTCTTCATAGAAACTATTAATAATCAACTCCCTTACACTGGTAGGATTGTCATCAAAATAACTGGCAGCGCAGGGATGTTTTAGTCATTTAGAAAATTCCAAAAATTCCACTGGCTTTCCCCTAGCGCTTGTGGTTAGATTATGGATGAGGTTTTTGACATTATTTTCCTAGAAGAGAGAGGGATTACATAAGAGGGCTGGCAGCCTATAAAAATGTCCTCACTTGGCACGGACAGGAACCAGGTTAGACTTCTTCAAAGACAGCTGAAGCCTGTAGCTGCACAGGAAAAAAATAAATCAGAAGAAGAGAGAACTTTTCTGGGAGACGGATGCTAAGATCACCTTGCATAGAAGTGTTTCTAATGCTTTCTTCTGACAGTATTCCCATTTGGACAGAAAGCCTCTGAATCTGCTTGGATCATGAGGAAGACAAAGCATTCCTGGGCATCCGTGGAAGGAAGAGGCAACAAGGGGGAGAAAACGGCTGAGGAAAATGCAAGAATACTGCCCAAGGCCACACATGAGGAGAGAAAGAAGCAGGAGGCAAAGAGGAAAAGGACATTGAAAACCCTGGCAGGCAAATTGCTAAAGACTGTGGTTGGTGGGAAGGAGACAATGAAGAAGGCTGTCGATGAGGATGTGGCAGGGAATTTGCTAAAGATGCCAACCAGTAGGAAGGGAGCGGAGAGAGGGACACCTGCAGGTAACCTTGAAGTTATCTTTGGGTCCAGGCCTGGATCTTGTCTGCCTCACTCAGCCCTGCAGGCTCTTGTTTTCATCAGCTCCTGGATTAGGTGCTTTACACTCTCCTCCTCCCCATCCTTCTCCTGAATTCTTGTCCTTTCTGAACTGTACTCTTGCTCCTCTGGAGAGCTGTGTATTTCACTTTGCCTCACAAGTGTTTCTCTTTATTGTTCTCATTTTTATTCCTGCAAAGACTCCTGATATGTCTGTGAGAAAGACGATGTATGTGTGAGTGAGACCCTGTTGGTGTGACTGTGTTGTTCTTTCACAGATGGGAGGGGCAGATGGGTTGTACATGGGCTAGTTGTGCCAATTAAGCATTTCCTATGTGTTTCATGTATCAAGGCAGGACCAGTGCAGCTTGTAGACTGCTCCTGAACAACTTGGCCATTGCTTTGTTGAAGATCCTTGCATCAGCCCTTCTCCAGTTCCTTTCACGTTCCTCCCTTTAGTCCTGTTTGGTTTAATTCTTACTACACATATGAGATTTTTTTTATAGAGGAAAGTTAGGATTCAGGTGAAAGATAATGGAAGCTCATACTTTTTCATTCTTCACTGTACACCCAAAGCTGTATCCTGAACTATTTCAGAGTCCCATTACTTCTGGCTTTGTTTAAATTTCCCTGAATCTCATCAAGTATGATTTTTCCTCTGGACTCTGCTCCAGATACCTTTGGACAAATATTTTCAACTCTTTGTTGCTCAATTTTGTCATCTGTAAAATGCACAGTAAAAAACCTGCAGCTCTGTCCAGCTGTTGTGAGATTACATCTAACCCTTGTTAGTGGGCTAGATGTGATGGGTAAGACATTTTAGAAACAAGCAACAGTGAAAAACTTCTCCTTCCAGCTTCTGAACTTTAGAGATTTCATAATGCCTTGATGGGGTGTCTGGTGATTAGGGCAGTGGTTCTGTCACCACGGCTTCTTGCAGATGTGGAGGTCACGGGCTGTTATGGAAATCCCCTTCTAAGCTTCACTTTTGGGCAAAATAACACGCCTAATCATTTGGCCTAGTTAAAATATCCTGATAAAGAGAGGGCCCTGGACTGCACTGAGCAGTCTCAGCCTAAGGCAAGAGCTCGCTGGCAGGAGTGACACCCTCTGTGTAGCTGTGTCAGGCTTGAGCAGGTGAGAGGGACCTTCCAAGGGAGCTTGCAGTGCTTTGGTCCTACCAAGGTTTCCTGTAGAGAAAACAGAGGATTCCTTCTAGGCTTGACTTTCAGCTGTTGACTTGTTCAGAAGATGTCCTTCCTTTAACGTTTTTCTTTTGGACAGAAGGTGCATTCCTTAAGGAAAGATTGCCGTTAATGAACCTGCATAGCCCACATGAAGAGCTCTCTGGGATGATGACCAGAAAACTGCAGATTAGTCTGCAGGCTTGCTTAGCCTGGAGGAGAAGGGATGAAAGAGAGAAAGAGGGAAAAAAGTGCTTGTCTTGAGGAAACTGAGAGGTACTAGTGCTAGACCTTAAGTGAGCTTATCTTAAGCACATATGTATAAACTACATACTTCATAACTTGGATATTAAAGCGATGAGTCCTATAGACGAGTGAAGAAACAGCAAGTTGTGTTCTTTCTCTGTTGCAGAGGAAACCATCTGCATATGCATTGAGCAAGGAAAATTTTTGGAAGCTTGTGATCATATTCATAATCTGAAGCATTCTGGAAATGATGGTGTGCGAAAGTCTGAATCACTTTATGCGCTGCTGGCGGAACGAATGTGGACTGTGGTGGAAGAAGCGCTCAGTGGAAGTGGTAGGATGTTCCTGGAGCCATTGCAGTCAGTGGGGGAGTCACTGAAGTGGGAAAAGCAGAAGGAAGCAGACTGGCTTGGCAACAGCCAAGGAATGGATTCTGTTTCCACCTGGAATCCAAACTTCTGGAGGAAAGATCTGGAGGAAAAACTGATACAGTACGTGACAGCCCAGATTCCCCTGTTTGGTTCCCCTGCTAACACAGATGATACTGCACTAAAACAGCATCTGAGTCATCTAGAAACGACATTTCTCCCCAGTCTGGAGCACAGAAGTGATGTCTTCAAGGAAGCAGGACTGCTCGTCACCTATGCCCGCTGCTGTCGTGCCTCTTTGTGTTCTCACCTTTCCACACTTACTGACAGTAACCATTTCAGCTTCAGCCAATGTCTTTTAATTTATGAATGGGGCCTTAAAATATACAAAAGGTACGTCTGAAGGGCTTTTTCTCTACATTTTTTTTATGTCTCTATTTTCCAGTTCTGAGCACAATCTCCGCTTCCTGATAGCACAGCGATGCTCAGGGCTCTTGCTGACTTTAGGCTTGCCCACTGCCTCTTTTGTCTTCTGTGCTCTCAGAATCAGAGCCTTTTTTCATTGCAGTACTGCCTTTTTCTAATCCTTAGTAGGAGGCTCAGGGGCTTACCTGAGGCAGGCAGGTACTTCTCCACTGGACTCCTGTTAGACCTGCACAGTTTTCTGCTTTATTGAACAATTTCTTTCCTCGCATTAAGCCTTTTTTAGCAAGGTCCATAATACTTCAATTACTCCAGCCTTTCTGTCAGCAAGGTGCTCTGTGGGCTTCTCTTGTTGTGTCCTCGGTTCTTATGCTGCTTTATCTGGCTTGTAGTTTGCTCAGTTGTTTCTATGTTTCCTGCATTAGTGTTCATATCACAGGAAAAACATATAGCAGATCATTAAATTTCTTCCCAACTTTGGGAAAACAGATGTGGTTTTCCCTGTGATCTGAAGAGCAGCACATCTGGGACCTTTTGGCCCGATGTGAATTTGAAGCCTGTGGGTGCCATCAAAGCCTGAGGCTTTCTTGTGATTTCTTTTTGTATGGTAGATGTGATGTTTGATTCTCTGTGTCCATGGTTTTGTTGCTACTTGACAACTCCAATCTACTCATGCCTAATAGTTTTCAGCCCTTTGGGGTTATTTGATTGCTTCCATCCAAGCCTACAGCTTCTCTGATCCTTGTATTAATTACACTTATAAACTCTTGATTAGCTCATCAGCAGTTCATCAGGTGGGCTCTTCCCACAACCACCTCCCAAAGGAGGGAAACAGTGTGTGGGTACACATTGGCAGAAGGGGTTAGGATGCATCAGACATGGATGTCAGACACATGGGAGAAGGGGTTAGGATGCATCCCCTCGACTGACACTTTTGAAAAGGTAAAGCTTTAGAGTAATGTATTGATAAAATATTGAAAACTTACATGAAATTGGAGGTGAAAAATTACGTAAATTAAATTTATAAAGAAAATACAAACATTTAATATATAAAGAAAAGTCAAATATAGGAAAAATGTATTACGTAAATGCTGAATTCCTTCAAAAAACAAACCAAGCAAGCAAGAGCAGCACATGACTGTATTAGTCATGAGGTAGTGAAGAAAGTGGAAATGAGAAGAGCACAGATGCCAGCCTTAACTATTTGAATGTTACTCTCTGAATACTGTTATAACCTCAATGAAAGCTCATGCATAAATGCAGTTGTCCTGGTATATAGCTACTTTTTATTCCACTCAGACAGAATATGTGACACTTCTAAAATTGTGCATTCGTGCAAGTGTGCTTAGGTGACTCTACCTAAGCCTGGAAAGGAATTCAGCAGCAGCAATGAGGGAAAGGGAGAAGGAAACAACAAAAAAAAGTGTAATTTGGGCAGCAAATATAAGAAGAAGGAAAAGAAACAGCATAGAAGAATAGCTGGCGAAAGGATGTGATAAAGATCATCTACATGCTGTGACTGCCCAAACATGGCAAATACAGCTGGGTTCTTGCAGGGCACCCTGTTTTCTTACTGTGAGATTGTGGTGCCAAGCAGGAGGTGCCAGGCAGGCAATGGGCTGTGGACCATGGGAAGCTGCCTCTCTGGCTGAGCTCTTGTTTCTGTATGCAGTGGCAGCGAGGCATGTCTGAGACCCAGCCAGATCCCCCAGCACAACCTTTCCCTTGATGAACAGTATCTTGTGTGGATTATTTTGAAGACTGAGGAAAAGTTACTTGCAGTCACACGGGTAAGAACTGAATGGTTTTACCCCAATCTGCCTGTTCTATTTCTGTGGTTTTAAGTGCCCTTATTAAATTAGCTGCTCCCTTGCAAGCTGAGCCAGCTCTGCTTAGCTGTGAGTAAGCCCCAAGGTCCTGACCAAGTTTCATTGCAGATGTGAAGATCCATGATTGTCTGCTGCCAAAGGGATGCAACCATGTCCTTGTTCCTTAGCAGGGAAAACATTGAGACATTTGCAAATCTCTCTTAACCCATTGCTGCACCTCCATAGAGCTGCAATCTGCTCTGCTTTGAAGCCCATGAATCTGGAGGAAAGGAAGGCTATGGGTGAAACCCACTTCCTTATTGAGAGCCATTTCAAGGTGCTGTTAATCTTCTATTACTGAGCCCATTGTGTGCAATGGTTGGGTGTTTTTACAGCTGTGTAGGATATTGAGGCTGCTGGGTTTGCCTGTATGTGGACCCCTCACAGCCCTCTCCAGCCTGCTGGATTGACACTGCTGAGGTTATACCAAAGACTATTTCCAGAGTTCAGCACAAGGAAATGTGCAGCTGGTGCACAGCCAGTAGCCCTTCTGTAAGGTCAGAGGAGGGCATCCTGCCATGTGATCCCACAGGTGACTCCAGCCCTAGGGCTGCAGCGCCTCTTTCTTTTCTCAGCAAAGCTCCCCCTTTGAAGAATTCTGTTGAGACATGAGGAATACAAATGAAGCAGGGAAGATGTGTTGTAGCAAAGGGGAATTCCAGAGGAAATGATGTTGTTTGCAAAACTCAGTGGGGGCTTTCATATTCAGCTAAAGCTGAAATGCAGCAGCAGGAGTTACCACACTCATCTCTCTGGCTTTCCATTTCCACCAGCTCCTGGGGAGGAGAGAAAGGGAAATTCTATGGCAAACTGCTGAATCATCCCAGGGAAAGTACTCTAAATTGCGGAGATTTTCCTCAAGACCTATTCCCTGAGGGAGAACACGAAGGTAGTCACAAACATGGGAGTAGAAGTGCCAGCTGGTGACAATATGCTTAAAACCTACTGATTTCAGTGTTTAACATTAGGTATCTTTATGGGCTGTTTCTCCTCGTTACCCTGAGGAAGACCACATGTTCTTAAGGTCTTTTTTTAGCACTTGTTTCAATGAAGGAAATGACTTTACTCAGGGTAATGCCACTGAGGTTATTTTAGGGCACGTCTCTGGGTCATTGACAAGCCCTCAAAGATGCTGACTAACAGTGATGGAGAATTTAATTATTTTTTTTTTTTAATAACTTCCCTCTAACATAGTAGCTGGAGAAAGCTTTTGCTTAACCGTGGGCTTTCTGCTTTTGTGATGCACGAAGTGCTAAGCAGGTTCACTTCAACCTGGCAGTGGTTATGAGCACCTGTGCCATGCTACCCTGAGTTGACTGTATTTTTTCATGCCACCTTGGATCTGGAAGCATTGCAGCTCTACACAGTGCTGCATTATACATAGAGAGCAGAGCTGGAAGTGCTGGGGAGTGTAGCACAGCACTACCCTGGCTTGTTTCAAACCTAGCCAGCTTGGGACCAGCTCCAGATTCAAGCTAATGAGCTTAAGTGGACATAAGCTGATTCCATATGGAAAAATTATGGATGTCACTTCACTCAGCTCATTGACATAGCTTATAAAACCTGCTTTATCCCTCTGTTTCTGGTTCCAGGATACTTCGGCCCTTCATTATTCCAAATATAGAGGAAGTTGCTATTGAGCAAAATTCCTGTCAGTTATGTCTGAACAATTGTCGTGTATAATTGTGACTAAATCACATGGTGTGTGTTTTGCCACTTCAATGGATGACTAAATTTTTCTAAATTAGAAGAGCCTGACCAGAATAAGCCATGGCCTGCTTTGCCTATAAATACCTGGCTTATCACAGGGAGTGCCAGCCTGATATCTCTGCATACTAAAAGCACTTTAAACAGAAATGAGCGGCGAGAACTGTGACCACATCTGAAGGTGCTGAGAGCTCAGGTGTCATGTGGTGTTCAAAACCACTTGCAAACACCTTTGTGGGGAACTTGGTCAGCTCTGCATGCAAGTGGCATTGCCTCAGCCTGGACATGTCTAGGGCCAAGGGAGCTTTGTGCCTTTGAGACTGCAAGGTTGGTGAACTGAAAATGATGGTGCCATCGACTGGGTGGTCAGTCCGTCACCCTGCCCCTGTATTGGGGAATCTGACATGAATGCAAGGCAAACCTTCCAGCGTGATACCAGCTTTCGTTCTGATACTGAGAGGTGAAAAATTAGAAGGGTTTACACTAACCTGCAAAGGATCACTCGGGTCTGTGTCTTTTCCCCCCTGACACCTCTATCTTTTCAAACAGACAAAAAGAGGAGTGAGTAGTTCATGTGCTTTGGAGAATTTGGGCTGAGGACCTTCTGCTGCCCAAACGAATAAGGTTGTGCAGTCATTCTTTCCGCTTTCCTGCCAATGCGTCAGCAATGCACTCACACCCATCCTAGACAATTTTGACCGCACTTGGTAGCAACGTAGAGGTCTCAAGGATGCTAAGTTCTTGCATGTTTTAAAACAGCAACCAGAGAGAAGAGGGACCCAAGTTATAGCTCAGCCGCCTGCATTTTCTGAAAGGAAGTAATTGGCTGGGCAGTCAGCACAGATGGACTGACCATCCATGGATCTGAGGCTTTGCAACATGGGGTGCCATATCTTGTCCAGACAGGGAGGAACAAGAAGGAAACTGGGCCTGTTTGTTACAGGAGAAATTCTGGTCCTCTCTCCAGCTCAGAGCCTTGGTGCCTGAGGTGCTGGTATCAACGCAGAGCTACAAACAAAAAGCTCGTGTTAATTCAGACACATCATCTGACCCAAAGCAACTAAGTAGCATGGCTCAACAAGTTATTGCCTTGCAGTTCCTCACTAAACCATGCTTTGTCCCACTGGGGAGCAAGACCTTCATGTTGGCTTAAGCTGGCTCATTTTAGTGTGCAACTGGGGCAGGCTGGAAGTGTTTGTGCAGCTCTGCTGGGATGTGTTATCTCAGCACATCGTGTTCACACAGTTGCTCACAGTCAGGTGATGACACTCCGGAGGAAAATAATTTTTCTCTGGTTGTTTACAACTGCTTATTTGCCTTTGATTAACACTTTTCAGTGAGTATGGGAGAGCAGTTGTTTTAAATATACTTTTGATGAAATTCTTCAGTTGACAGCCACAAATTTCCTAATTCATCAGCCAGAAAAGAACAAAGAAAAAAAATGGCAGATCAGACTTTACATTCTTTGGAGGAAGATGCAGGAATGAAATAATAAATAAACGAGCCAGGCTTTTGAGTTTAAAGCTTCTATAAAGGTCAGATCGTGTTTTAAGCAACAAGCCCTTTCTCTGCAGTGTTAGTTTTGTTTTTACAACCCATTCAAACTACTGTAAGCCAGCCAAGTCTTGGGAAATTTCCCATTGTGCGGCCTCATGGGGCTCATCTCATCATGACAGTAGCTTTAAACACTAACCCGAATCCTCTTTGCACTCACAAGTCCCTGGCTCAAGTGAGGGAATGCTTTTAATTAGCGCTGGCTCGTTTATGTGGGTGCCGATTGGAGCTGGGAAGGGTGGAAAATCTCAGCTACAGTAGCTGGCAGCATGGAGTTGTATGTCTAAGCTTTGTTTTGCTGTGTGGGCGCCTTCATTTGAGCTAAGCTAACTAGGGAAGACTGTAGATAACCCAAGCTGACACTGGGATGAAAGGAAGCTGCAAATCATTTAAACTCAAACAAACAATGTAGAACAAAACAGAACAATGTTATTAGGTCAGATGGAAAATAGCCAGGCTTTGGGTTAAATGAGACAGCCAAAAAAATAGAGGCAGAAATTCATCTAGCCCAAGTGCATAATGAGAGGCTGGGAAACCTAACTCATTATGAATGCCATTGTATCTCAACTGTTCTTTTTTCTTTTCTTTTAATGTTTAGAAGGAAGTAGGGAAAGCCCTCAAAGAAGCCTTTGATATTGGGAAACCCCCTTGTACAGATGCCGCAGTCATTCAGGTAAACGGGACGGAACCAAAAAGGTCTCACACTTAGGGGCAGTCCTGTTTTTGGACACAAATATGTGGGTATTTGGCAAGACCCAGTTTTGCATGTCTCAGGCTAAGCTCAATGTGTTAGAAGCTTGTCAGTTAGCTGCCATACTTAGACTGTGCCTGTTTGCTCCCAGACCTGTTTTTCTCCTGTGCATAGACAAAGAAAAAAAACTAACTAAAATAAAAATGAGCCTGAGATTAGCTAATTCAAACTGAATTTGCATTTTCATTTATGCACCTGGGTGTTTATGTAACGTTCTGTAAAGTCATGGTGTATGTTAACCACTCTGCTCTCTGTGAGTTCTGCAGAGCACTTCTACAAAAGCAGTGAGGGTTGCCAAGCTGTGGCAGGGCCCCATACCTGACAGTGCAAATGCAGACAGGCTCCCTGCTCCTGTGCTGGGTACAGCTGTGACTGCTGCCCTCATGGGTTGAGTAGTGAGAGGGGATACTGTAGAGCACAGCAAAGGTGAGCGCTCGAAGGGCATTGCAGAAGCACACTCTGCTGATTTATGAACAACACATACTACAGCCAGAAGGCGTTTGGATCAAGACCTGCAGAAGGATTAAAACAAATCCTGGAGCTCACATGTAGGCTCAAGTGATGCTGGAGATCAGGGGTAGGATGTGGGCTGCCACAACTATCTTTCTTCTCAACTACCACCACCCCAGTGGCAGTCCTCTTTCAGGTCATGAAAGAGGAAATTAGCTCCATGGTCCTTTGGGATGGCAGACAGCCTCAGGCACTCTATTGGAGGCATTGCAGCTGTCCTTCCTCATGAGGATACAACTTTAACTTGCAAAAACTAGCTTTTCTGGTCCAACTCAAACCCAGGAATCAAGTGCAGAGCTCACAGCAGGGACTGTTTGCTCCTCGCCTTGCCCTGTGCCCACTGGAGTGGTGGAGCAGTGATGTACCCAGTGATGTATCTGTTCTAGGGTGACTTTTAGCCACCAAGATGATTTGTTTGCCTGGTCCTGGCTCACAGAGCAAAGGTTTCTAACAGGAACTAGGACAAAGCCTGGTTTGAATCCTGTGGTCCACATATCTGCAACATCTGGCCGTGCTTCAGCATGAGTGGTTTTCTCTGTTGCGTATGAAACTGACAGGTTCGAATGCTCTGGGGTGGGTGACGGAAAAGACTGGATAAATAGGAAACCCTTATGAAATTACTGCCTCCTCAATTTTCACAAGCTGACACTGAAGATCAGATAAAAAATGAACAGGGTGTCATAGAAACTCATCAGCCATGATTTCCTGACACTTTGGGGTGGCATATTTTATCCTGTCCCTTTGGGTGAGCTTTTATATCTGTTGTGAGCAGTGGAAAAACCCATTCATGATGTGAGCCACCCTTTGTCTCTGGATGATGAGCACTGGGAGAGCACAGCCTATGAGGCCATCTGTCTCCTTTTATCCATCTGGCTCTCCTTCCCTTGCAAGCTTTTGTTTCTACAGAGCAACTAATGGGCAGCATTAAGTTGCCACCTGCTCAAGCCTGCCTGATATGGGGTGAATTTTGAGCTGTCTGGCACAGCCCACCTCCTGTGGACACCTGAGCCACCCAGCTGGGGTCAGTGGGGCAAGACATAATGCCATAGAGTTTAACACATACTGCTGTGTCAGGTGTGAGCAGTGGTGATTGAGAAAGTGATAGATGCCCTCTTCAGACATCCCTGGTAGAGACCCTGGCAGAGGTGCAGGCACACAGTTACGGCTGTCTAACCTCTTTTTTAGTAGCTGCCCCCAGATTTATCTGTGAGGGTGAGTCAGGTAGAAGCACAGGTGCTCCTGCAGATGTCAGGTCTTTGTTTGAGCTGAGCTGCCAGGCTGGATGTTGCCAGCAGAGAACATCTGCAGAGACAGGCTTTCTCCTGGACTCCAGCCTGCTGACCACAACAAAAACAGTGGTAGCAAAAATGTAGGGTCAGGCATTAAAATTTGGCTCTTGAAAAATACTTTTATTTTCACTGTAGCTGTAAGGGCTCTCAAAACTTAAGCAGAAGTTGCTGCCTAGAGGGCAGAGGGATTTGGATCAGGTGAGCAGTGGGATGTATTCCTGTTCACTGCATAGATAAAAAATGGATTTGGTCTGCCCTTCTCTCACACATTGAAATCCACAGATACTAACAGAGAAGACAGAGGCTGCCAGGCGTATCAGCGAGAGCCTGAGCGAGAAGGTGGAAGCTGTGTGCCTGGAGCAGTGCCTGAGGTTCCTGGAGAGGTAAGAAGGATGCTTCTTTCCCTCCTTGATAACATTCTTAATGCTCAAAAGAAAGAAATCCTTATGTAGCAACTGAGGATGCTGTATTCACCTGGATCTTTAGTTTGATGGATGTTTCCTGCTAAGCTGTTTCTGGATAGACACCTCTTTGCTGTTCCATGTGCTCAGCCTTTGCTGTTGGGCTAAAGCTGAGGAGACAAAGTGCATCTGGACTTGCCAGGACAGTTTAAAGCCTTGGGGGATGCTCTGGAGAGTCTTAGACCTTAAACACAACCAGGAAGAGGGGCAGCCATGTAGCCAGAGCCCAGGCTTGGCCCTTCCTACCCTGGCTGTTCTTCCCAGGCACGGTGCTTCCTGCTGGCTCCATGAGGCAATGAGGAGCTCTGCTTTGTCCTGGTTTCATAGGAGGATGAATGTCTTTTTCTCATCTTCTGTCCTCTCACCACTTCTTCTGACTCCCTTTATCTTCTTTTTGTACTTGGGCATCTCTCACCCTATGTATACCCTGCATCAGAAAATGCTGGTTGTAGGTGAATGTTTCAGAAGGAGGTTTCATTTAAGATCCTTGGCCCTCCACATGATGAGAGAAAGAAATTCCTATAAAACAAGGCTGTCCAGGAGCCACTCATGAGATGGAGGCTGCAACAAAGCAGTCGATAGACCTTGTGGGTTATTCATATACGCTGAGTCTTTGTTCCACAGCTCCATTGGCAAAGCCTGAGTTGCTTCCCAGAAACAGGTTTTGCAGCAACAACAATCGTAAAATGAACCTCCTGCCTCTTGGTCCATATCAGGGGCATTCAGGCAGCTCGAGGGCTCTCCCTGTGCCATTCCTGTGCTCTCCTTCCTCACCAGCTGGGCAGGGCAGAGATTGCCTTTGTCATGCTGTAGATCCTACCTTGCAGAGTGAAACTGTACATTGAAAAGACAAACAATCACAGAGTATTTCTCTGGTTTGCTGACAGGCTGCTGCTCTCAGATGCATTATGGAGCATGCCAGATTAAAGATATGTCTTCCTGTTTTAATTTAGCTATGAAGATGAAGTAAGAAGCTTTCTCCAGCTTGATGGCTGCCCACCAATCTGCAGCAGTTTACGAATCCTAGAGAACTGCTGCCTTCTCAGGTTAGAAACCAGAGCCTGGGGAGTGAAATGAGTTTTCTGCTGTCTGATCTCCTTCTGAATCTGCTCTGAGGCCAACCTTGCCTCCAGCTGGATCTGGGCATTCAACCCTGTGCACACCAACCCTGAAGCATGGAGAGAACCACCTGTTGCCAGCAAGACCTTGTCAGAGCTGCCCTGGCTGCCCCAGAGGGAGGGAGGCTCAGATGAGGGCTGTGACCTTGGCCAGAGGGCCACGACTGCTGCACTGGCAGTGCTGTGCTGCTACTGCTTGCCATCTCCCAGGTCCTGCAGGTGCAGGGGCTGTAGCTGGTGATCTGCCATCTCCACCTTCCTGGTGCCCATGGCACTGAGCAGGAGGCTGGCAGCAATGCTGTGTCACATGTGGAGACAGTATCCTGGCTACTCCTGTCTGTGTTGTGCTGCGGTTCCTTTCACTGGCCTGATCGTTCTTCAGCACGAAAACCTCATAAAGATTGTGCTGAGATGTGTGTGCCAGTGCACTTGGTAAGCACAAGCTTCTGTGCTCTGCTGAATGAAGCCCCATGGACCATGCCAGGCTCTCTCTGGGGTTGCTAGGAAGGAGGGAAGCAATAAAGCACAGAAGGGTGGAGGAGGCTGTTTGCACCTATGAGCTAATTTCAGAAGCACTTGCAGCAACGGAGAAAACAAAGTTGCTTCACTTCTTCCTGAGCAAAGTTATCTGGGGATCTCTGGAATCAGCAAAATACCAAAATCCAGCATATGCACTGTGATTACTTGACATCAGAGCCTTGTGCTGAGCCTCGGTAGCTGTTTTGTTTGTTTTATTTGCATGTTGCTGGTGCTGGATCCCAGACTGCATACTTATGAGTCTCTTTTATGTAATTCTTCACAGTGATCCTGAGAACAAAGTTGTACACTGAACTTCTCCAGATTGTAAAATGTCTGGTTTCAAGCTGGTGATAATTTTAACCAGGATTTGCTGATTTGAAGACTGTTATGATGGGAGATAATTGTCTTGTATTAATAGGTTGTCTGAAGTACACAGAATGCTCATTCAGCCTCCGTTTGTCAAGGCCACTTCATGCCTACTCATTTTTGAAAATACTAGAATTTTTTACTGATCTGATCTCACTAGTGATGAGTACAAGAGGCATTTGTGTGCATTGAGCTTTCCTGTCCTTGTTGCAGTGTCTTAATGAGAGCCATCCAAAAGATGGGTGCACAAATGTGGGTCACTGAGCTAGCCCTGAACCTGAGCATATGCCCATTCACTTTCCCAGGTAGTCATGTTGGTTACAATAGGAAGAGTCTTGATCTGAGAGAATAGCCTGATTTTATCTGATCTATACTTTTCATATTTTTTTTTAACAGGACTGTCTGGCTTAAGCTAACATACATTTGCAGTGCCAGCACTGGCCAGAATCTTAAGGTAAATGGATTTCTAGACAGGATGGAAGATGACATTACAGAGCGTTTTCTGCAGACAGTCACTTCTAAAGTCAAGGTAGGGGAGACCTGTTTTAACACTGACTATTTTCAGACTGTAGGGCAGATATGCACTTCAGTGTCATGTCCTGCTTTGGAAAGGGTGAAACCATAGTTTGGTCTTACAGTCCTAAGTGCTTCTCTGCTTTGTCAGAATCTGTGTACGGACAGCTTCACTTTTCCAGTTTTGGGATCCCGGTTCCATTGTTTGTAGTGTTGCTGTTGTGCTCCAAGTAGGCACCCCATGGTGCCTCTAGGAATCCAGACCCCAAGGGCTGAATTTCACCGAGTACCTGCTCATCCCCAGCAGCTAGGCATCTTCTCAGGGAGTGATAACTCACAGAGCCCAAGGCTGTGCTGAGTAGTCAAGAGGCAGAGAAGACTGACCAGAAATATGTCCCTCCCTTGAGATAAGTTCCCCTCCCTTCACACTTGCCAGTATCAGCCCATTAGCCCAGACACCCTTCCAGTCCTGGGCTCTGTGTCTAGGTAACACACAATTGCAGGCTCCTCGGTGTGTGGTGTTGTGCGTTTCCCTGGGAAACTCCCCTGAGCATCTTCAGGCTCATCACACAAGGTCCCTCGAGTAGGCTGGAGGCAGCAATAGGAAAATGGCAAAAGAAACCCTGGCTACACTGTACAGTTTTGGTCTCCAGAGCTCATTGCCAGCTTGTCCCATGGGCCCACACACTGAGATGGGAACTGGGGGTGGTTCTGACAGGGAGCCTGGACAACCCTGGGAAGAAACAGGAGAGCTAGGGCTCAGGTTTTCAGTCTTCCAGGTTTGGGCTTAAGAACTTAGTACATCCTTCCTGACTTTGAATTGCTTCTTTCTTTTATGTTTTGCTTTTCTTTGAAGTAAAGGCACAGGATGCTGCAGCTTGTGGAGGAGTCTGTTTCCGAGAGCAAAAAGAGCAAATGCACAATAATCCGTGTCTGCTGACTGTGTGGTGTCTCTACATGTCCACTCTTTGACTCTGTTTGTGTCTTTTCCTCAGGGAACACTGAAGGATCACTTCAAAAAGTGTGACAGTGGTTTTGGCCACATTCTTGAATCCTTAAAGCAAAGCTTTTTGGCCTTTGGGAAGAAAAAAACAGATATGTATGAGGTAAGAAATAAGTAAGAAAGTGAGAAAGAGGTGTTACTTAGGAAATCACTAAAACTAGTCTTTGAACCTCTGGATGGCGCAGTATTTGAACATTAACCCAAACTGCAGTTTTGTCTGTTGTCAGAAGGGCTTTTAATTATCTAGTGGTCTCAGTCCAGTTCCTCTATCCAACAGAGTTGGATAGTGACATCTGAGATCTTTCTGTTATCACAGCAGAGAAACGGGCAAGTGAAGAAATGTGGAACCTGAATGTACCTCCTAAACACAAAGGGGGAGCATTGGGCCATCTCTGATCCTACCATTGCCACAATACCATTATACTGGCAATTCTCATCTTCTAATGTGCTTCAACCTTATTTGTAAGGAATATTTATCCCTTTGATGGAGGGAGGACACAGAGGAGTGAAATGTCCAGATTCCTAAAGGACACAGAGGGTTGGCAAAGAAAAACCTCGCAAAGAGCCCAAGATTTTTCACCTTTACAGTAGCCTAAATAATTTGTTAGAATCTTACAACACCTTTTGAGTCTGTCTCTTCAGCAATGAGTTTGGAACCTGGGGAACCCTCTTTTGTATTCAGACTGGATTTGCTGCTGCTACCTGTGCCACATATGTCCCTCTAAAGCAGAGGGCTCCCAGGTCTGCAGTCTCTTTGACAGTGATTTTAGTTAGCATTTTGCAATGTGGCAAAAGGTAATAGAAGACAAAAAAATAGGAGCTATTCTGCTGTTGTTCAGAGCCTGTCACTGGACATTATGTCACATTAGTGCTGGGGCAAGCAGCAGCTTGGTGGCAAAACACTGTGCCAGAGCTCTCTGTCTCTTGCTTTGTCTGTTCTGGACAGAGCTGGGGATTTCCTGTACCTTTGGACTGCAGTCTAAAGCTGCTCTCATTTCAATTGCTAATGAAGTGTGGCTTCTGTGCAGCAGCCCCTCTCCCCTTAGAAATGCTCTTCAGCCCTTTCAGGGGCTCCACACTATAGCTCCTCAGCCCATTGGAGTTCCTCCACACTGGAGTTCTCAGGGTGACTCAGAGGGAGATACCCAAGTGACTTCTCTGTGCTCAGCCACAGCTGTGTGCCAAGGGTATGGCCCTGTGTCCAGTGTAGATGCTCCAGGGAGACTGGATCTGGCTTTGTCTGTATTCCAAGCTCTTGCCAGGTGATGTGTTTGTTAGCCATGCCAAGTATCGCTGCAGCTCTGGAGCGTGAGTGACCTCTGGCTGAGGTAACTGGTTCCACTGCTTTTGCTTGGATGTCTCCACACTTATCATCAGTGTTTATGTCATCCCCATGCAGCTTGGAGCTACCCCATGTGTCAGACCAAGCATTTTAAAGGGATACTTAAGCAAAGAAATGGGAAAGCCACCTGCATGGACACTATACCACTGTCTGCACTGCTCAGAGTCCTGTAGGTATGGTCTGGTCCTTGCTTAGTCCAGGGAAGTTAATCTGTGTGTCTTTGCTCTGGAACAGGCCCTCGTCCAGGCTGTCAATGCCATTGTTATTACAGAATATGTGCAGGCTCTCCTGACCACTCCCAGGAAACCATCTTCTGTGCAGAGGAGGAGGGTTGTCAAGAAGATAGAAGAAGATCATAAGATGATGCAAGCCATCTTTAAAGAGTGCTTAGTAAGTCTTTGATACGGTTACAGTTTTGCTCTCTTGTCATCAAGAATGGTACCAGCAGAAGAAAAGACTCTGAAAGCAACAAAAAAGCTTAAGAGTTTTTACTGCAGGGGTATCCAGCTTCACAGAAATGACAGTCAGATGTGCTGACAGCACTTCTGATCTGCCAGAAGCTGTTAGTTCATGGTTTTGAAATGTGTGACTGGAGGAGGCAAGTTTCGCACTCCTGCCACTGACATAAAAAATGAGGTGTGCTCCTCTGAGCTGGTGAGACAGCTCCAAAGCTGTCAGCTCCCCCAGCAAGCCTTGGGTACGTGGCATGGAGGGGAAGCACTTTCCTTGAGCCTCTTGAGAGATGAACCAAACTGGCTGCTCCACATCTTCACCTCCTCCGTGGATTGCCCTTCACAGCTGCTCCTCCCTGGACATGGGGTATGCATTGTTATCCATCCAGCCTCCTCCCCCCCCACAGGCCCTTCCCAGCCCCTCAGATCTGGGATGATGGCTGTGTGAGCCATTTCCCTCTGCTGCAGCGTTTCCCCATGGGCAAAAGTGTGCTGATGTTGTTGTGGTTGGTGACAGCTGCCTGGAGGAACGAGTCTTCCTGCAGGGTTAACACCTCACAGCACTAAAAGGTAAAGGTGCATTGCAGAAGGAATAGATTAGGTGTAAAAGCAGAGCTGCACCTCTGAAGTAAACCTGTGGCAAAGCACTAGGTCTGATTTGCAGAAAAAACTTCAGAAGCTTAAAAAAGCCTCTTTGCTCAATTCATAATCTGGTGTAATTGGCAGTGCCACACACAGCATCTGCGGATGGCACCAGGCTGTCACATGGGTCCCTTGATTACCCAAGGGCAAGGACTGCAATGGCAGCAGCATCCCCTCCTGCAGCTGCTCCAGTTGGAGAATCACTGCTGTGCAATGTCCCTGGCATGGCTCATTAGCAAGTGCAGGCTGAGAGTGCCCAGGCACGGTGCTTTGTAAGAGGCTGGGCTGAGCAGCACAGTGGTACTGGTTGCAAAGTCAGTCTGGTAACAGGACTCAGATGTGACGGAGCTTATAAGCCCCCTTGGCTATACGGGTTTTAATAATTTCACAAATTCTGAGTAATTCTCACAACTTGTCAATTTAAGTGCTAGGGACTGAAAATCTATTTTCTCACAGATGAGTCCCCTGCAAGTAATTTGTCAGCAATTCTTACTTTGTCCAACGAATAAAATGAAATCAAAATGATCATCTGTAGGCTTCTTTAAAAACCTCTCCGAGCTATTACAATTAATGCACCAGTTTCATGGCGGAAAGCTGGAAGCTGCCAGTGCTTTTAGCTGAAGACCCACCTCTCCTGTAGTGATCAATCACAAATGAGTCAGTGCTTTGAGCAATCAAGCCATGGGGAATATCAGGAGGGCTCTCTAATCTTAACTCTGAAGTTTACCCGTAATGCTCTGCTCAGCACTAGCTTTGGCTGCAATATGCACAGAAAGCTGGTTTTATAGTGCAGAGGAAATACAGGAAATCTAATTGTCTATTAAGACCCTACATTTAGCTTGGGTGAAAAAAGTCTGCATCTAGTTAGCCCGGTGTCCCCAGTCTGTGCACTTTCTTACTTGAGGTGGGAGCACCAAAAACCTTGGGAATGAAATGCATGAGCGATTTGCAGGGGACAGCCTGATCCTCAGTCGAATGAAGCACACAGTTATGCATGCAAAATATGTACTCTACTGCAGACTGAATTTATTGTGCAGTTGCTGCACAGGCTGCACCTGCTCTCTGCCCTGCTATCACCTCTCTTCAGGCTCTTCCTTCCCCTCCATCCTCAAAACATATTAGGAAATACCTTCCTTCTCTCCTAAGAGCAGTACATGTCAAAGGCACTTAAACACTGCTGACAAGACACCTCTTTTTTTTTTCCTTTTAGACTGCAGGCTGTTTACCTCTGACCTTGCTTGTCTGTATAGTGCTTAACCAAATCTGACGCCTTCAAATTAATTAGCATTTTGTAATAGTAAGCTTGCCAAGTATGAAGCTGTACAGTACTGGTGCCCCAGGAGCTGAGTACAGCTTGTGCACTGAGCCGAGCTAGGCATGCTGTGCGTCTGCAGTGCAGAGGAAGAGGGGGAAGGCTGTCTTCAAATATTACTATTATTTTTAATTTATGTTCAGTGCGGAGGTGCCGCATGGAGAATGTGACCTGCTCTTCCCAGTGCCCCGTGGAGATCAGGGGAACCTGGGCTTCTCCTGCCCCAGTTTGGCATCCCGTTCTCCAGGTTTGCTTTGTCACAGAGTCTCTGTTGACGTGGTGGCATCAATAATTCAGGGAAGCAATTTAACTGTACTATGGCACTGACGAAAAATGTGAGCGAGACCTGAAGCTCTCTCTTGGCAGTTCATCTGCATTCTGCTTCTCCAGCTTTGCTGAAAATGCTGTGTGTTTTTTGATGAGGCTTTTTTTTCTCCTGTGTGCTCCAGATTAGAGGGAGCTGATCATATGCAGCATCCACCAACCATGTCATATTATTTACACTCTTCAGCCCTGCTTCCCTTTTTTTCTGTTAGAGGATCTGTGTTCCCTCATCCTCTCCCTAAAGTCTCTTTTCCATCCCTGGGCTTGCTTTGGGGCAGCAGAAATGCCAGCATGTTTGGCCAACAGAGCTTGTTTTCACGTAGGCCAAGCAGAGAAGCAAAATGCTCCCCAAAGGGTGAAATGGTCTTGAAAGGACAGACAATTTAGGGAAAAATGAGGTACATTTCCTTCTCCAAAGTCAATGCAGGAGGGGATTCTGCACTGCTGAAGGTAGTTGCCTGAAAGCAGTCCATGACTGCTCCCCAGTTTCTCTTCTCCTACCCTGGGGGCAAACCAGATTTCTGTACATGCATAGACAGTCCAGCAAAATTCCTAACTCACACAGAGAGATACCTGGTCTGATATGAGTCCAGCTCTTAACACTCTGTGCTGTTTCCCTTGCCCTGAACACACCTTTGCTTCTATCCTCAGGGTCCTGCAGCTGGTCCCCTCAAGGATCCCATAAAAGCAATTTTAGAACTTATTCAAGCTTCTGACGTGGAGGGGATGGAAATAGCTCTTCTGCCCATTCTCAAAGAATTTCCTGAGCTCAGGTAATGTCTTTTGTTTGTCTGTCTGCTGCACTTTGACATGACTAGTTGACACCAGAAGACCTACAGCAGTATTAGTCCTGTGATACTTTTTGCAGTGTGCTGGGCCAGGCACAATGGTCACCTTTGAGTGTACTCAGTGCTGCCTCTTTGCAGGTGCTGATTAACACAGTTTATAACTTTGCCAGATATGAACTGGTGGAGCTGAGATGTACTTCTGTAAAGGTGAATGATGGATGAAATGGCTGTCAACAAAGCAGAAATGCTGTTGGAAAATGCTACCTGAATGGAGAATTTACAGGCACATATGTGTCAAGTGTAGGTTTCAAAAATATTCTTAATTCAGGCATTTCATAACTTCCAAGCACTTGGCTTTTGGCTTCAATACTTTACCAGTCCTTGTATAACTGTTTCCACAAAATTCCAGGTGCATTCAACAAGAATATACACTTCCATTTCTTACAGGAAGCTGTTAACAGAAATGAAACACAACTTTTACTAGGAAGGTTAGGTCTTAGCTAACTGCATTTGTTCCAAGGTCTGTGGTTTATTACATCTATCTTTTGTTCTGATGTGCTGTGCAAGTGATTGTGTTTTTCCAACCTAACATGATTGCAGTGAAGAGCTCTCTGTCATAGGATGCTGTGAAGGCCAAAAGTGTGAATGGTTTCAATTTGTGGTAGATAATTATTTCAGTGCCTATTCAACATGACAGTCATGATATAACCCTCAGCAAGGGAAGTCTCTGAATTGTAGACTGCCAGAAGCAAAGCAAAGAAAAAAGACAAAGAGAGATCCTGTTATGCTTCATCTGGTTTCTGTATTCTTTGCCTAAACATTTACTACTTTTGAAGATGCTAAAAAGCTGCTTATCTGATACAGCATAGTGATTCTTACTCTCTTACTATGTATATACATACATATATACATACATACATAAATAATATATATATAGTATAGGAAGTGGGCATAGGAAGTACTCAGAAGACCCAGGTCTCAGAGGAGGTCATCCTGGTGTGAGTGGATGCATTGTTCTTAACTACAACAGATTTCTGTTCTGTGTTTAAAACTGTTTGGCTTGGATACATTTGCCTTATATCTAATATGGTGCTGCTCAGCGAAGCAATGCTCTGTAGAGCAAAAATCCTATAACCTTCCAGATGAACAAGAATTAGTGCCATTTGAGGGGAGAAAAGATGTAAAAAATGCTTCCAAACAGTCAAATGCAGAGTTATCTGAAACCTATTATGATAGATACAAGTATTTTTCTTGGAATAACCCGAGTTGAAGGTTTCCACAACTTCACAGGGATGCTGTGTGCCCTGGGCTTGGGATCCATGAGCTCGGCCACATCCCACACAACCCTTGTGATACAGCCTCCTCCTTCTTAGGTAGCCAGCAGGTGTCTGAAAGCAGCTCAGCAGCTTAAGGTCTTTGGTCTCGTCCACCAAAACTGAGTAATAGGAAGCAAGGTTTTTTTCCTTAACTCATTTGCTGACCTGCCCTCTTACCCTTTTGGAAAGGAAGGAACATCTGAGCGTGGTGCTGGACCTCAAAGACTCACTCAGCCGAGAAGACAGAACTGCTCTCTTGAAGGCATTTGAAGATAACTGCAGGGAATCAGAAACAGAAGCAAACTTACTTTTTGCAGATATAGAAGTAAAACCTAGAAAATATGGGCTCTGTGGCTGCCTCTGCTGTTAGCAAAGGTAGGTGTGTGTGTGTCCTTATGTGTAACATGAATACCTGTACAGGTGTAGGCATTCCTGCTTACAGGGAAGTGGAGCAATGACGGCTGTAACATCACCACCCTAAGGTCCTCATTGCTCTATACACTGGCTCTACTTCCCTTTCTCCACCTTTAGACTTCCACACTGTGGAGGATCGTGTTCAGTGCAGGGTGCTGAATGCTTAGATGTGTGATTCAGGTTACAGAAGGGACAGAGGAGAAGACAGAGCTCTTCCTCCTCATCTTTCACTCCTGTCTGTGTGTTCCTGCAGTAAGGTCTCTCCGCAGCATCCTCTCCCTCCCAGCTCTTACCCTCTGCATGGACAGGGTCTCCGAGGCAAGTTCTGCTGCCTCCTGGTAGGGCACACCAAGAGATCTTCTTCTCAGTGGTCCTCCTGCTTCCCTGATATGGGAGCCCCACCACTGCCCCCTCCATGACAGCTGCATTAATTGAACCAGACTTGGCCCTGTTTAAGTGACTGTGCCATGCTGTGAAAACCAGAGGGAAGTGTGCCCCTTCCATGCTGGCAGCAGCAGCTGGTGGCAGAAGGGAGGAGAGTTAAATCAGAGGGATGACTGTCACTGTGAGGTGTTAAATCTCCTGGCGTGAGTTGTCAATGCTCATTTGGAGCACCTGCAATTGCCTTTCAGTCTCCCAAGGGACTCCTTCGTAGTCACAAGCTGGGCTTTTTTTTTTTTTTTTGGGTAAGTTGAAGCAGATCTTGAAGCTGAGCAGTTCCTCATGGTTTTAAAATACTTGTTAATGGAGAACATGCAGATATTTTCTTCACTTTAAATAATCAGTAACTTCTTTTTAGTCCAAATTTATCCAGCTCAGAGCCAGAGAATTTTATTTTATCTTGGCCAGGTCAGATCCCTTCGCTATCAGAAATAGTCCCTCTCCTTTAATATCTACAGATTGTCACCAGTCACCTTCTGTTGGATAAGCTGACTAGTTTGAGTATCTCAGGTTGAGAAGCACAGTCCCTTTCCACCTCCTGCACTCTCAGGTGTCACCGTTTATTTATAGTTACCCATGTTAGCAGATCAGGGATGAGTTATGCAGGGCTCTGACCTGGGGCCTCCAGGCACAGGCAGACAGCAGGCTGTCCTGGTAGCAGGGAGAGAAAGCAATTAGAGAAACAATTAATAAGCACACAAGCTTCCCCTTCTTAATGAAAACTGATTCTGATATAATGAACTGGCTATCAGCCACCCATTTTTATACCCTCCTTTAAAGAAATTACCCATGGTGTCACCTTTGCTTTATTAAAGATATCCAGGAACATGTTTTTAAAACAATGTGAGTCACTTAATCTCCTATTTTGTGAAGTCCCCTGGGCAAAAAGGCTCCCATATCCCAGCAGATCAGGCTGAGTCTGCACTGCAGTGAAAGCACATGTGTAGCACAGGTTGGTCAGCTCACCTGAGCTTGGGGTACTAGAAATGGTGAAATTATGGGATGTGCCACCTTCTTTCTTCCATTACAGCCCTGGGATTTTGCTTCCATGCTCTGGGGTGTGACCTGTAGGTACTTTGGGAATCAACTGCTTTCTCCTCATCAGGAACACATTTGTCCCCTCTGTATATGGAAGTGGGAGGACTTGGAAACAGTGCTAGGTTTGGTTGTTTCGTGTTTGCATGAAATGTCCTTCCAAAAGAGGAGTGAGAAGATTTGTCTAGATAGGGCAGGCAGCAGGGATGCTGCCTATGACTACAGACCCATGGATTGTGTAGCCCAGGAACTGGAGAGTTTCAGCAGGTGAATGTCAATACATCTTCATGCAAGAGTCAGTGCATAGGAGGGATGTTTCAACTGTTTGACTCTTGCACATGTTCTCACAAGTGTTATTTTATTACCCAGATTTTTTCTTGCCTTCCCTCAGGCCTGCTATGAGAAATGTGAAGCCTTGCTCCCATGTGGCAGCACCTGCAATCACAGCTCCTTGAAAGCATCAGGGACCCATGCAGCTGATTATATGGAGAAGCCTGTCAGCTATGGAAGACACAATTTCTGCATTTTGCAGGAAAACCACGTGGCTGAAATCCTAATCTTCTATGCAAAATCAAGGAGGGAGATGGATGGGACATGGCAGAAAGACATTCCTCCAAAATTTCCTAGAGATTGCCACTTAGCTGAGTCCTAGTGGTTATTCCCAGGATGTGGCATGGTGGCATGTGTGAAGGAGGAAGGTTCACCCTTACCAAATTTCTCTCTGTTTCTATCCCTTGTTTCCTGCAATCTCACATGACACCAGGGACATGTTGTCCTAGCATTGCAACCTCCTGAGGGACCCAAGATCCTCTTAGGGAATCCCACCTAGCCCATAGTGCTGGGGGTGCCTGCTGGTCTGGGCACCTTGATCCTCCCCCCTGAAACCTGACCCACACCAGGAGGGGTGCAGACAGAGCTGCCTCTTCCCTCACTCACAAAGGCTGTGATCCACTTTGGGGGCAGCATGCCATGGTGGGCTGTGAGATGGGGAGCGCTTCCCATATGAGTTTTACAGCTGGCTCTGGAGCATAGTCTTGCATTCATTTTTATCCCTCAGTTACTGGAAATTTCCTCTTGGAGAGGGAGGGGAAAGCCTCATGGGAAGCAGGCAGTGAAAGGAGTTTTTTGTCCGAGCCTCTGGGCAAGGTCTCTGCTAGTTTTCAGATGTAAATAGGCACTTCTGACAGGAAAACACTGACTTTTCTTCCCAGTTATCTATGGACTGGTCATAACCTCCAAGCTGGATGTGGTTCAAGGCCCTCCTTTGCTATTGTGTGCAAACAGGCCATTAGTGCTCCTCTCCGACAGCATAAACAAGCAAAAGAACTCTGCCTCATATGTGCCAGTGCTTTTCTGAGCTGCCATTTTCACTCGAATCTGCTTCCCTATCAAGTAAAGGGGAAAATTTGTGCATAACCTGTCAATGTGTGAGGCAGCAGATGTGTCATGCCCTGGGACCCTGGGCAGAACCTGGTGGGTTCTGCCACGCTCTGCAGTGCTGTGCCACCATCCCAGGGGCACAGCTGTCCCAGCTCAGGGGCAGCTTCTCTGCCCAGAGCCCTGGGTGCAGATGGGGTCCTGTGAGCTCTTCAGGAGCCAGGCAGGTTTGTAATTGTCACTAGCTTTGCACCTGGTGCAGTGCTGAGCGTGGCAGTGCAGCAGGAAGGAACAAGCTGCTCCAACTCCAGGGAGTCCTCTGTGTGCTTTCAGGGCCCCATGAGACCTTGGCATCATTACGCTGCATCCCTCACGTCACTAAAGGGCAGTGAGAGCATCCCATGGCCTGACTGCCCTTCCTGACTGCATGGCTGCTCCAAAGTTCAGTCCTGGTGTCCCTCACATTTCATAGCTGTGCATTGCAGCTTCAGTGAGACCTTTCCTGGGATGTGGGAAGGCTGGGGGAGTTGAGGCAGCTGCAGCCTGGACAGGTGGGCACAGCTGGGCTCTGGGGCTGAGTGGGCACCTGTCCTCCAAAGGGTGCCAGCCCTGCCAGGCACACTGGGCCAGTTACTCTCCCCTCCTGACGAATTGCACATTTTTTCAAGGGTGGGAAGGGATGATAGTCCTGCATGACAGACCCTGTTGTGACAGCAGGGTCAGGGTCAGCCTCTGCCAATGGGAATTTCAAGTAACAAGCCTTCCAGAGGAAATAAATAAAAATAAAAACCCCTCTGACATTTCAGTCACCACTGGGCTAAAAATAATGCCACAGCATGTGGATGGCTCTGACCACGTACGTGTCAATGTCTATGTATGTCTCTGCCATTTGACATCCACAGGCAGACGAGGGTATATTCCACTTGGAAGCAGCAGCTGGGAGCTGTGAGGGACGCTGGGCTCCCCACTGCTTTGTGTGGAGAAACACCCCTTTCAATGAGGCTTTGTAGCAGCAAGTTTATGCACATTGTGTGTAGCATCCAGTCATGGAGAGACCAAATAAAGTCCTGAGTTTGTCCATGAGGCTTAGTGCTGATGGCATATATGAAGTTTTCCAGAGCCAGAGGGGGCTGGGGTGGGGCATGAGCAGTGAGAGGTGGCCTGGTGTGGAGGCAGATGGTGTGGGAAGGATGTCCTCTGCCACCTGCAAGTCGCCTGAGGGGAGCAGATGGTGTGTGGGGAGTTTCTTAGAGGATCCCCAGGAGGGGAAGCTGTGATAAGGGGACGCTGGGTCACTCCCTAGGACTGTCTGAGGTGATCAGGGAGGGGAGGAAAGGCTGTGGGGAAGGAGGATGAGAGATTTTCCTTTTTTGGGGGGATTTTAACCCACTGTGTTGTGTGACCTGACCTTCCCAAATGATCCAGCCTCCTACTTTCTAGCCTTCACCCTAGGCTGGAGTTAAAGCGCTTGTGTGGGATTTGTGCCTCTCTGCAGAGGGCTGGGAAGCAGGGTCACACTCAGGATTACCTTGTGGCCTTGGGATGTGGGCAGGGGCAGCCCTGCCACTGCCATCAGCCTGCCAGGGCCACCATGGAGCTGTGTTGCACATCTCCCACTTGGCCCTGCATTCAGTGACTCTACCTCTGCAAGCAGGACAGAATCACTCAGAGTTCAGCAGTCAGAGACTCCCTCCATAAAGTTCCCCTCCCATTCCTTTGGGTTTCGCTAGGATCCCCTTGGCACAAGGGTCATGCCACTGCTATGCTCACCAATCATCCAGACGTGCCAGCCTTGGTGATGTGGGCATCAGGGACTTACACGCTGCTCTTGGTGGTTTAACGTTCTGGCTTTTTTGGGAGCTGTGCTCCATCTATCACCCTTCTGGCTCTGCACTGGGCTGGTTGTGTGGTGAGCAATGATTTGTCACCCATGTACCCCACACTGCTTGGGGCCAGGGTTTGTCTGGCTGCTTTGAAATGCAGCAGAGCCTCGCCAGCCACTCCTGTCATTTGAGCTCCTGTCTCCGAGGGTCACCTTCAGTGCTTGATGCTGAAGACAGTGGAAAACAGATCCTCCTTAATTATACTGCAAGGTCTGAGGAAAGACCTGACATTTGCTGAGGTGCCACCTGCGTTTTCCTGGTTTACTTAGTGTCTTTGCCAAGGATGTGACAGGGAATGGAGGGCTCGATGGTGAAAAATACAGGTAATGAATACTCTGGGACATGCTGAGCTATGTTGGATATCAAATGTGCATGAGGAGAATCAATCCCTAAAACTATGAGACCTCAGGGAAGGCAAGCCACTTGCTTATTGCAAAATTATATAGTAAACTTATTTTCTTTCCTCCCTCCTCCCAAGGGGAGCCTGTCAATGCTGGAAGCTCAATCACTGCTCCCAATATTGATCAGAATAACTTTCACCCACTTTTGACAGTTTCCTCTCCAGCACCCAGCAGGGAAGTGATGCCTAATCCACGGGTGGAGAAGGTTGTGTGTGGGATAGGCAGCCTGACAAAAGCCATCAAGGGTAACTCCCCCCAGCACAACCGCAGAGGTTTGATTTTAAGTCTTAAATATCTTCCTTTACCCCAGCACACCATGGTCCGTGTGGAAAGGTGGAGGCATCCGCCTGTGCAGCAGTCTCTGGCTCTGTAGCATGGGCTGGGCTGGATCCCCCCAGATTCCCTCAGTGGCCCTGGGGACACCCGGACTGGGAAGGGTACACAACTGGTGCCATCTAGTGGCACCGGGACACCGAAAGGGCTGTGGCTCTTTTATTTGTCTTATTTGTGTTATTATTACAGAGTATTACAGGGGAATATGCCTGCATGACCTATTAGTCGTGTGGGCTGTGAGAGGCCCCTTGTTGTCCTGTGTGAAACTTGCAGGACAACAAAAAGTTGGGAATTCTGGTGTAAGAATACACAGAGCATGTAGATGTTTCTTCCAGCCAAACAACCAGCAGTTTTATGGGAAGATCGTAAAAGACAGTGATGAACAGAATTGTTGGGATGTGCCCTGTGCTTTATAGAAACAGCTGGAGCTTGTGAGTGCAGAGGAGAGGTCAGGAAGCAGCACGGAAGAGCCAGGGCCCAAGGACATAGTTTCTTCCCACCCCACAGCAGCCAGGGTTCCTGCTGTGGGGAGTAAAGGGCTTTAGGATAAGGTTTTAGTTGGCTGAATCTAACCTAAGGCCATATGGGCACCAGAAAACAGGTTTCTGCCCTCACCCCTGGGTGCCTCCCCACCACCTTCATTGCATTGGCTGTTGGGGTCAGCCTCACCTGTGTAACAGAAAATTAACAGCCCAAATAAATAGTTCTGCATGGGTTTGCCTCTTCTCTTTGCTTCTCAGGAGCTCTGGTGCTATTACCTCCCTCCAAGCTCCAGCTGCCAGCTCCACATCTGCTGACTCTCTGTCTCCTACCACTATCCTGGTTTTCAGCCTGGTCCCAGCTGTCCTCCCCAAGCTGTCCCATTGCCCACTCTGTGGGCTGTGGTGCTGCCTTTGCCTGCCTGTCCTGTCCAACTTGGCTCACACAGCCTGTACAAGGGCATTGCATATTGTCCCAATGGGCTGTTCTAAAACGGGTGCCAGTCTGCCAGCAATTAAAATAAATGGACTGGGTTTAAAACAGCTGCTGGGAAAATCCCTTGTTTCAGGGCTGGGACAAAGTATTTGCAAGAGTAGACTGTCTGGAGTGGTTTGTTATATCATACATCCTTACAGGGTCTTGGAAAAAACATAAAGCAACCCTTGATTCACAAATGAGTATCAAATTTTTTCCTTCACTGGATTCTACCCTCTAAATTTCTCCATGCTGATCTTTTGTGCCTAACAAAATGGGCTTGTGCTATTACGAATGATGTAGTTTTATTCCCTTCCAGACTGTCCAGTGCTGAGAAAGATCCAGATCTCCGTTCCCAGACATTTGCTGCAGCTCCTGATGCTGCCACATAGTCTGTGGGCCACTTTGCTCATGTCTGCTGGGGTCTCATTTGGCATGAACCAAACTTTCGGAGAAAGAGGAGGGTCTGAGAATGGGAAGGATGAGCCCACACTGAGATGTTGCAGCTCAGAAAGGAGCTGGGGTAGATGCTAAGCATGAGGTCTTCGTTAAAAGCTCTGTGGGAGAAGGGGGAGAGCACTTCTATGCACAGGCTGAGGGCTGTGCTCTGCCTGGTGTGAAGCATCCATGTAGAGATCAGTGTGGGGAACCTTTGATACTGCACAGGACAGCATTTTGCAATCCTGACACACATCTGTGGCCTTGCCTTTGCTTCGCAGGTGACAACATACCAGGAGTGTCCTGATGTGGGTGGCAGCCACTGTGCAGCTGTGGCCACCAAGGGCACCCTCATCCTCTCAGGTCTGAGCTTCTCATGGGTGTCTCCTCTGCAGCTTCAGGCAGGGCTGTTTGGTCCAGACACCCAGGGGCTGGTGTGGGACTGGTCTGTCAGCAGAAATGGGTGTCTGGGGGCTGCTGCCTGCCCTGGTGCCGCTGTGGTAGCAGGCAGGAGGCTGAAGCACTCACTGCAACAGGCAGGACACAGTCACAAGTGCAACACTTGTCTGCAGCTTGGTCCTGTGCAGAGTAGGGGACAGGAAAGTGCCCATTCCTCCGCTCTGTACTGTGACCTGCCTGCCCTCAGAGATACCTCAGCTGCTGGGGCAGCTGGACATCTCCTGGCCTCCCTGGCAGCGTGTACCCCTGAGTGTGTACCCTGGTGATGAAGGGCTGACTCAGCCCAAACTCATGAGGTGATGGCCTCAGGGGCCTTATTATAGCCATGGTTATGGCTCTTCCAGGATGAACGGTCCGTAGCAGGTAGTACAGGTGTCTGGGATGTGGTCTTGGGCTGCTTGCTGAGACACACAGGTGATGGGCTCTGCCAGGTCTCCTTTGGAGCAGCAGCACGAAGAAAATTGCAAAAATGGAGACCTCCACTGCCAAGGCGATACTGGGCAGAGGGTGCTGCTGCCTCCCCTCCCCGTCACTAATTCCAGCTGTCAATAGGGTGTGGTGTGACCCCTTGGCCCTGCAGCAGCAGGTCCCCTGGCAGAGGGGCCGCTCTCAGGGCAGCCCCCAGCCCCAGCCCTGCCTGAGTCACCTCATCCCCTCAACAGCGAGGGGGTCTGAGAGCCTCAGCTCGAGCCAAGCTGGGGACCCCCGGGATACCTTCTCCTCGCTGCCGAGCGCCCGTGTGGAGCCGGGGTCCACCACTAGATGGGGATAAACACCCGAGCCCATGGGTGGGGCGGCGAGGAGCAGGCGGGTCCCCCCGGGAGGGCGAGACGGGGGGTCAGGGTTGTGCTCCGCAGGGGATGCCCGTCATCCGGGGTTAAGATGTGGAGGATGTCTACTCCCAAACACGGGCTCAGGACCAGTGCCGACTGTTGCCCGGTGGCAACTGGTATCTGATGTTCTTAAGCCCAGTCCTGCCGACTTTCAGCCTAAAAACTGAGGACAGAGGAGCTGGACTCAGTTGCAGAGGCTAATCAGCCTCCTCTTCAGGCACCGCTAGACAAATACATGCTTGAGTCCTGCCCTAACACCAGCTGGGCCCTGGGGTGACTCCCTGGTCCCCCAGCCCTTGGGGGCTGCAGAGATCACTCCGCTCCCTCCAGCCCGGGTAATACAGGGCGGGGCTGAGCACCGGCAGCAGCTCTGTGCCATGGCAGAGGGGCCATGTTGGATGTACTTCCTACTCCTGTCGTGCTTGCACTTAGGTCTCCCATAAAATTTCCACCAGCTCACTCATCTTTCCTGCTTGGGACCTCAGCCTGGCAAAAGTGCTGCCCCAGGTCTGGCCCCATCCCTGCTCTACCTGCTGGCCAAATCTCACCAGAGGCTCCCAGCTGGAGCCTGTTCCTTCCCTGCCCTGGGGGAAGCCCTGCAGCCAAAATGCTCAGCCACAGCAGTGTTTGCTCATTCTGGAGCTGCAGCTATCCTTGCTGTCCCTTGGCCCTGGCTCAGCGCGGTGCTCAGTGCACGGCAGATGTTGCTGGTGCTGCAGTCCTGAGGGGAGTCCTCTAGCAGGAGTCTGCACTGCAAGAGGAGAAATGCTGTGAGAAACAGGGTACACTGAGTTGAAGCCCAAAT